CCGTGAATGTTAGCAACTGGACAAATTGAATGCAGCGGTCAAGGAAAAGCGACCAGAATTGGTCAATCGTAAAGCTGATATTTTCCAGCAGGACAATGCTAGGCCGCACGCGTCTTTGTCCACTCGGCAAAAATTGATGGATATTGATTGGGAATTGATGTTACACCCGCCATATAGCCCTGATCTCGCGCCATCGGATTACCACTTATTTCGATCCCTGGACAACTCCCTTCGTGGTAAAACTTTTAATGACGACGACGCTCTAAAATCTCACTTAACTCAGTTTTTGGCCGAAAAGGATCAGACTTTCTACGAGCGTGGAATTTTCAAGTTGTCAGAGAGATGGCGAAAGGTCATCGAACAAAATGGAAAATTCATTACAGATTAAACTTCGTTCCAAGTAAAAATAATTTTTTATTTCATTGAACAAATCGGCAATTACTTCGTTGCTAACCCAATAGATCGTTCAGATGCACAGAATACTTCGTTACATTTAATTACAGATGAACTAACAATTTTTATTCTATAAGATAGTCAGATTATTTTTCAATTCTTTAACGCTATACATGTACACACCATGACAAAACTATAAGACGCACACGAAAATTGCGAAAAATTCTATGCGACTTAGAAATTTATTTTTCTTTCACTCGTAAACACTGCGAAAAGAGATTTTTATTTCCAATTGTTGTTATTAGGCGTGCAGTGTTTAAATTGATATTGCATACGGAATAGTTTTTGATTATACGAAATGTCGCACGGAAACAAACTAAATGCAACGGAGATCAATATAATTAACAATTTAAAGAAGGAAAACTATTCAATGCGAAAGATTGCCCACATATTAGGGAGAAGTCGTTGTACAGTTCATAATTTATTCAAAAAATCAACAACTGTGCAAGAAAAGAGACAAATTTTAAGACATACTTCGAATTCAACAGTATGGCAAATAGCAGCGGAATCCGGTGTGGGAACGAGTGTTAGGACAGTACAGAGAATAATAAAGAGTCTAAGCATTTGAAAAGAAATAAAATAAAGGAACAATTATATCCTTGTTGATATATCCCTCCTGAATGAATAGTAGGAGACATTTTTGGGGATTATTTTAAGGAATAATTTATATAATTTATAATAATTAATTATATTATATTATATATATATTATAATATATATAATATAATATATATTATATTATTAATATATAATATTATATATATTATATTATAATATATATATATATATATAATATATATAATATTATAATATATATATATATAATATATATATATATAATATATATAATATATATAATATTATAATATTATATATTATATTATATTATAATTTATAATAATTAATTATTTTTAGGAATTATTTAGGAAATTACTTACGTGCGACAGAGACAGATTCCATTTTCGCAGCGTCCACCAGCTTTGCCCATGGAGAGACAATTGGCAGCGCAAGCACTGTGCTCGGCAATTCCTTTGAACGAAAGAAGATCGCAGGTCACTCTTCTCTGCCTAACAGCACGTTCTTCTACTGCTCCGGAGAATTCTAGTGGCTCGTACTCCTCCTCTGGAATTTGTCAAGCATTTTATTCGTTAATTATTCGGTCGCTGATCTTATTTATAATGATTTATTTATTTCCTTAAGGGGGAAGACTCGAGTAAACCGTTAAAATAAGCCTGATCTCCAGCAATTGTTAGATAGATATTATTGACTTTTCAAGATATATAAATTTATTTTAAAAGACTCAATTATCATATATCCGTAAAATGCACTAACAACAAGTTCGTGCATAAAATGGAAACACTGTATTAGGTCAATATAATATAATATAGTTATATTGAAACTACCTTAGAAAATTACCTTAGAAAGAAAATACTTTTGCAATATAATGGTTTATTTAAACCGTTCGAATAGCGTACAAAATATTTTTTGTACCCCCACAATGAGAAGAGATATTTAGATGGCCTTATTTAGATGGACCACCCTAAATGGCGGTGTAGGTTTATACATAATAAATATTATGTGCAATTATTTGAGAAAATGGAACTATATTTGCAGTGGAACAGAAAAAGTTACGTGCAATTATAAATATTATGTGCAATTATTTACGAAGATGGAACTATATTTACAGTGGAATAGAAAAAATTCAATTACCAACGTGGATGGCAACGACAGCGGCAGCAGCCAAGAGCACAAAAGTAGCAAGAACGTAGAACTTCGCCATTTTGATTTTAGGCAGGTTTTCCTTGTACTCTGAGGAGATGCTGGAAGACTGATGATGGATGCGAAGATTTGGCCGCTTTATATACAGTATTCTTCTCTCGATATAGCGTGCCGGGTAATTCCCGCGTCAAATATGTACACAGTCGATACGAAAGGGAAAATAAAGAAATTAAGCGATTGGCGTGCGTAGTCATTCAGTCGTCTTTTATGGTGCAGCAGACACACCAGGATATGTAAAAATTCCCCGTTCTTCCCCGTTCTTCTTTGTTACGTTTATCTCCGGGTTTCCCGACAGCTGTTTGATCAATCGTTATCTACACTGTAACATAGAACAGGCATCAGCGAGTCATTTTCGACCTCGGGTCACTGTAACTGTAATGCAAAATCGTTTCTCGTGTGAGGCACGTGCCATGGGTCAGATTTGGCCCACGGTTCGCTACTCACTCATGCTTGAGTATAGAGATCTGTACAATGTTAAGAATTTTGAAAAGCTAAAAACACTAGTATCAAGCTTGTCAAACCCTACTCAAAATATCGGCAATTATTTACTATGTATCAGTTTACATATTTAAGGATTTAGATGAACCTTTAATATCTCACTGTACTTCCTATACAACAAAGCAAACCCTACTCGAGATATTGACAATTATTTTCTGTGTATCAGATTACATATTTGAAGATTTAGATAAACTTTTAATATCTCGCTGTATACCCTATATAACAAAGCAAACCTTACTCAAGATATTGACAATTATTTTCTGTGTATCAGATTACATATTTGAAGGTTTAGATAAACTTTTAATATCTCGCTGTACTCCCTATACAACAAAGCAAACCCTACTCAAGATATTGACAATTATTTTCTATGTATCAGATTACATATTTGAAGATTTAGATAAACTTTTAATATCTCACTGTACTCCCTATACAACAAAGGAAACCCTACTCAAGATATTGACAATTATTTTCTGTGTATCAGATTACATATTTAAGGATATAGACAAACTTCTAATATTTCACTGTACACCCTATATAACAAAGCAAACCTTACTCAAGATATTGACAATTATTTTCTGTGTATCAGATTACATATTTGAAGGTTTAGATAAACTTTTAATATCTCATTGTACTTCCTATACAACAAAGCAAACCCTACTCAAGATATTGACAATTATTTTCTGTGTATCAGATTACATATTTGAAGGTTTAGATAAACTTTTAATATCTCATTGTACTTCCTATACAACAAAGCAAACCCTACTCAAGATATTGACAATTATTTTCTGTGTATCAGATTACATATTTGAAGGTTTAGATAAACTTTTAATATCTCATTGTACTTCCTATACAACAAAGCAAACCCTACTCAAGATATTGACAATTATTTTCTGTGTATCAGATTACATATTTGAAGGTTTAGATAAACTTTTAATATCTCACTACACTTCCTATACAACAAAGCAAACTCTACTCAAGATATTGACAATTATTTACTATGTATCAGTTTACATATTTAAGGATATAGATAAACTTTTAATATCTCACTGTACTTCCTATACAGCAAAGCAAAATAGATTTCTATTTATTATTATTATTATTATTATTATTATTATTATTATTAT